ATTTTAGGATTAATGGTTCGCTTAGTTTAGGGTTTGAGATTGGATTAGTAAATTAGAACTACTTGGTAATAACTCTCCCCATCGTGACTTTAAACTGAGTAAATGGCACGCCCTCTAGCGACATTGTTAATTATAATTTCCTCCATCTTAAATTAAATAAAAATATTTGTCCAAGAGAAAAATAAGCTTTTGACATTGGCTCTACTGAGAAGGGAAAATACAGAAAAAGGAAAGTCACGTGTGTAATTTAAAGTTTTAAATTAAGATTCATTAATAGCAACCCAGTATTTTTCCAATGATTAAAAAAATGGAAAATTCAGCATTTTTTTTTTTTTTTTTTTGAGTATCTGTGCGTTTTCTTATAAATTTGAAATTAGGGAAAGTATTTAAGAAGTTCTCATGGATTATGAATAGATAGATAGATAGATAGATAGATAGATAGATAGATAGATAGATAGATAGATAGATAGATAGACAGACAGGCTCGGTTGATCTGCACCAGTGATTGGTATATGTTAAATTTACACACACACACACACACACACACACACACAATCACCCATGACACACACACACACACGCGTTGAATAATTAAAAAATTACACACACACACACACACACACACACACATATATATATATATATATATATATATATATATATATATATATATATATATATATATATATATATATATATATATTCTAGTCGAATCCATTATATTCACTTACATGCTAATAATACCCTTAAAAAAGCTGCGACATTATCCGTTATTTTTCAGGGCTGTTTTTACAACACAGCCCTAAATAAAAATGCTAAAAATTATTCTTGTTTTATTTTTATTTTCCATTTTACTTTTGGTGTTTTATTCGTTTTCTTTTAGATGCCAGAAATATTGGGATAGAGATGTCTGATTTCTTTTTTTGAATATTGTTGAAGGAGCTCTTGTGTTGCCTCCATCTAATTTTAAAATTATTCTTTGTTGAGCCTATGTATATCCTATCAGTGTTAGGAGGTTTTGGAGAGGATGCAGACAAAGGGAAAACATACTTAACATCAGGAAGAGGCAGCTGAAATTTCTGGGACACGTAATGAGAAAGGAAGATTCTTGGAGAATCTGATATTCACAGAACGGATAGAGGGAAAAGCAGGGCAAGGGAAAGCAACGCGTGACATATTTAACGGGCTTAAGCAAGTGGATGACAGATCAGAGTCTGGGAGAAGTAGTATAAAGTTCTTATTGAGAACTACAATTGATGGAGGAAGCAGAGAGCCATGATCTCCTATATCCTGAAGGGACACGGTACATAAAAGAAAAAAAATGTCTTATTCCTTTTTTAGAGGAATGGCATTTCTTATTGCTTTACGTCTTTCTTACTGGAGCAACTTAATGTGACAAGCTCACCGAGTCCTTCTCTAATTTTCACTGGCATCACTTTGTCTATCCTTTTCTAAAAGTGGGTGTCTTCTCATTTATGGGTCGAGATCTTTTCTTTCCAAAGCTTCTATGCTTTTCCATTCTTTATGTCGAAGTCTATTTATAGGTAAAGACATCATGCCAGTAGATACGACTCATATCCAGTGTGTACATGGCTATTTTTTAGTAACTTGTCCCAGCATGCTCAGGTGATATAAAAGTCGACTGGAGTGTGGAAATAGGTAGACGGTATCCTTTGGTGCTGTGGAATATATTAAGAGGTAAGTAGGGATAGGTGAAATTTGTCGTTCAATAGAGCCATACAATGAATTTCAGTCCACATACATCTTTTGCATTCTATATTTTTTTGTACAGAGAGATTTTACGAGAGAGAGATTTCTGAGAGAGAGAGGAGAGAGAGAAGAGAGAGAGATATAAGAGAGAGAGAAAGGAGAGAGAGAGAGAGAGAGAGATAAGAGAGAAGAGAGAGAGGGAGAAAAAGAGTTCAATTTTATATATTGATAGAGAGATGGAGAGCTGAGAGAGATTTAAAAGAGAGAGAGAATAAATTTGAGTTTTGGGAGAAGTTTAATTAAGAATAGATTAGAGAGTTTTAGAGTTAGAAATTTTTAAGCATTTTTAATAAAGATAATTGACAGTCAATGGATCGTAGGTTTATTAGGGGGAAATTGATTTTAAAATATAATTAGATATATATTATGTATTCCAAAAGTTAAATATAAAAATTCAATATTTTACTGCTGTATGCCGTCTCAAAATTTTGAAGAAAAAACACCGGAAAATTTTTTACATTGTTACACACACACACATATATATATATATATATATATATATATATATATATATATATATATATATATATATACATATAGAGAATAAATATATATATATATATATATATATTATATTCATCTTCATATATTTATATTTGATTTAATTTTCCCAATTACAAAGCGGCCCTTTAAAGTAAAACACAATTTTATTTTCCTTCGTTTTATCCTCTCCCCACCCTTTATTTTTTTTTTTTTTTTTTTTTTTTTCCTTCCTATCCGAATTGTCTGTGGTGTGTATATGTCACCTGAGAAATGTATCTTTATGTATTAGACATCCGTCGACTTTCTTTTCTCCTCTTTTAAATCCCACCCCACCCACATCTCCAAAAAATTCTCTGTCACTCATCCTCATATTTACACTTTCTCTAAATTCTGTTTTGATTTCCGGAGTTGTTTTTTCTGTTTTCATTTTGAATTTGTAGGTCTGATGATTTGGATCGTATTTACGATTCCAATGGAATAAATTATGACCATGGAATATTAGTGTTTAAACTTTTTTTATTATATCCTTACTCTGTCCTAGACATTGAGTTCTACCTGGATCCTTCCTCTTGGAAATTTTTTTTTTCTGAAAATATACATGTATGGGAATTTTTAGATATATTTTTCATATGTATGTATATTTTCCACTAATATTATCTATATATATATATATATATATATATATATATATATATATATATATATATATATATATATATTAAAATTTTAAAAAATTTTTTTTCTGCTACAATTTAAAAACCATGTTAAAAAAAATTGTTTGCAAAAAGCCCCGAATTTAATTTTGCAATTAAATTAAAAGCATTAATTCCATTTCATCTTCAAGCGAATTTTGCAAAATTAAATTTGGGGCTTTTAGCATTCTATTTTTTAATTTTTTAGAATTATATATATAATAAAAAAATATATTATAAAAAAAATTAATTTATAATATTAATGCTCTGTTAATTTACATTGAGCACTATTTAAAAAAAAAAAAATATCTACAAGAACACCGGATTATATATCTTACGAATTTCTTTATATATATATATATATATATATATAAATTAAAGAAGGATAGAATCCAGGTAGAACTCAATGAAAAGGACAAAAGTAAGAATAAGTATAAATTTTTTAAACATAACATTCCATGGTTATAATTTTAGTTAACCATTAAATATTAGTATTTGAGCCTTGTAATATATATATATATATATATATATATATATATATATATATATATATATAAGTTATGAAAACTTGGTAATATTATGGGTAATCCCAAGGAGGATGAAATCCTGAAAGCTCAATGTAAAAAAAAAAAATATTTAAAAGAAAAAAAGACCACTTTAAAGGTACCATTATAATAATTCATTTCATTTTTTGGAAGTGCTATCTGATGATTTGGCGTTTTTTAAAAGGACTCTTGAAATAAATTATTATAATGGTACACAAAAATTTGATTTCATATTTTTTTAAATATATATATATATATATATATATATATATATATATAATAAAATATATATATTATATATATATATATATATATATATATATATATATATATATATATATATATATATATATATATATATATATATATATAAACCTTTCTTTTAAAGATCTTTCGTTAAATATTAAACTAAAAAAGAAAATTTAATTCATTTTTTATTTAGTCTTTCCAGTGTTTTTCAAGCGCATGTGACAATCGACAATGTGGAAATTTTAAGGAACCCAAAAATTTTTGTAAAACGGAAATTTATATAAGGAAATAAAAAAACTAAAAAAAAATTAAATTTTTCTTATCTGCCATAGTTAGAAAGATATATATATATAATATTATAGAAAAATAGGAAAAGAATTTTTTTTAATGTTTATAAGTTCTTAAGTATAAAATGTTGATCTGTTTCTAATAAACAATATTAACAATTATTTAGGGCCCGAAAAAGAGAAAATTAAATAGAAAATATGTGTTCTCCACTGGAATCAAACCTGTATCCTATATGGAACCGTCATATAGCCTGATGTGCCTTAACCAAATTCGGTCACAATAGTTCCTCTAATATTAAAGTCGATTTTACTGTATTTAAACACAATTTCCATGATTTTCTCTCAAATATTCATATCTGCTCAATCCGTATCCGAATGAAAACAAATGACGTCACAATGTTTATGAAACTATAAAAAATAAATACTTGTCGGACGCTTTTTGTATAGGATAGTCTTGTTTTGGGTCAGATTCCTGTCGGAGGACACATATTTAAATGAAAATTTCTCGGACTTTCAGGCCGGTAAATATTTTAATACTGTTTATTATAAAAGAACATTTGAAAAAAATATTTATATAATAAAAAGAAAATAAACATTAAAAATGTTTTTTTAATATATATATATATATATATATATATATATATATATATATATATATAAAATTCATTGATTGATTCGTTTTCTACAGTTTATCAACACTTTTCAGGTTATTTAAAGGCAGGAAATAATTATATTGAAATAAATTCCAAATTTAGAGAAAGATAATAATAATTTAGTGACGCACATATTACTAATTAACCTGGGGAGAAGGGTATTTGCACGTAAATGAATATAACGAAACTAATTGGAATTCGAACTCAGTTCTAAATTAACAATTCCAAGCCATTATCCATTACACCACCATTTTCAAGTTTATAGCACCTGGTATTTTATAAGTGGTTACGAAATTTTTAAAACCGGTTTTTCAAATTGATATGGCCGTAAACATATATAAGATATTTTTTATAAATTTTTTTTTGTCGACTGCATAGTATACTATTTAGGGTCAGTTGGGCACCGAAAATTTAGAAAAAAAGAGCAAAAAAACACAATTCAACATGACAGATATAAATAAATTTAAATTTTCCTGTACTGTTTGGCATTCTAACTGGAAATATCAATATAAACATTTTAAAATATTTTGGGTACCAAATTTAAATAGTGCAGAGGACTCGAAAAAGAGTTGGATAAATAATGGTAAATTATGATTTTACGACAGTTCGGTAAATTCAGATCATTCTGGTAAGAAAAGAACTCATTGAAATTGTTATGAGAGATATTTTTTCAATGTTATTTCTTATATACATCAAGTGCCTGCCCTGGTTCAAGAATTTGCCTGCTGAAGACACTATGACTGACAACAGGATTCTTTTTTTATGTCACACCACACAAACAGGAATTTCATTAATGGCTCATAAACAATTTCTGCGAACCACATCACAGTCAATGGCATATAAACTCCCTAGACTGCAATAAATCCTTGATTATTTTAGTAACTGGTGCAGATTTGAGAGATCTAACAAAACTCCTTTGTAGATAAAAATGAACTGAAGGCAAAGATTATGGTTCATTCATTTTATAATATTTTATAGAGTTGCAGGAGATTCCAAAATTTGTCTGCATTTTTGGTTGAAGTCAATATGATTTTATTGAATAAATTTACTATTTAGATGATTTGAATTTTTGTGTCATCTTGGAAAGGATATCAGTTAAAATGAGATGTTAGTATCATTTTCATTTTTGCGTAACTTAGACGACAATTTATCCATCGCACCCTCTATGATAAGAACACAATGTCAATATATTTGATTCAAAAATTGCTATCAATAAAGAATTAAAAACATAATGTCCCATTGGCCGGAAGGAAATTCATTCACCCAGTTCATCTTCAAAGCTCTGGACATTAATTCATGATTAAAATCAATAATATATATATATATATATATATATATATATATATATATATATATAAAAGAAATATGTTGTAGTGGTTCCAACGAGAGAAAAGTATATATATTAAAAAAGAAGAGGGTGCCGCAAACGTTTTTGGTTGTAATGTGGATTTATTGAGAAAAATATTATACTTTGTTTTACATAATTTCACGACACGTGTTTCTGGTCTGGTCTCGCAACCGTCTTCATAATTATGTATATAGGATTTCGTTTTAATCTCTCTCTCTCTTCTCTCTCTCTCTCTCTATCTATCTATCTATCTATCTTCTCTCTTTCTCTCTCTCTATAAAAAGAAAAAATTTTGTATTTCCTGTTTGTCTGTCTGTCTGTTTGTCTGTCTCTCTCTCTCTCTCTCTCTCTCTCTCTCTCTCTCCTTTATTCTCTCTCTCTCAATAAAGAAAAAAAAACCCCAAACGTTTTTATTTATAATGGATTTTAAAATATATTATATTTTCCAGATTTTTTGCTACACACGTTTCGGGTCTTATGACCTTCATCAGGCGAAGGATGGTTATTTCACATATTATTTAAAGGAATTGATTTTTTCCTTATGTTTTCTCATAAATCTTTTTAGGAAAAAAAAAATATAATATATATTATTTTAAATATACACATTATCACATTATAACCAAATACGTTTGCGGCTTATAATTTTGCCTTTAAAATTTAATAATTTTTTCTCGCGATGGAACCACTATAAAATCTAATATATATATATATATATATATATATATATATATATATATATATATATATATATATATATATATAATAAAATTATAATTTAAAAAACACCAATATACAGTTGGTAAACTGAGCCAAAAATGCACGAAAGTTTGCTCAAAAGTAAGGCCTCGTATCTATTTTAAAAATTACAACAGTTACAGGGAACGCTGTGTCGCTGTTGGATAGAGTAAGTTTTCAGTTACAAAAGCAAAGTTGGAAAGTCAATTTAATCACTTTCCCCAATTAGTCTACTTCTATTCAAGAACGTTTTGGATATTTTAAACGTCTAAAATTTTAGTGTTTTGAACTGTATATATTGATTATTAAAATGAGGAAGAAAGGGATTATCAGTTTTCGAAATTTCCAAAGCATCACTGATAGAATAAGCTATTATATATATAATTTATTTTATAGCATGTTTTAGATTGAATTGAAAATGAGGATTGCAGGAAGAAAGGGATTTGTCAGTGGTCAGGGAATGAATGCAAGCATTACTGATAGAATAGGGCTATTATATATATAATTATTATTTTGTGGCAGTGTTTTACTATAGGAATGCATTGAAAATGAGGAAGAAAAGGATTGTCAGTATAAAGGAATAATGCAAGCATTACTGATAGAATAGGGCTATTATATATATAATTATTATTTTGTGGCAGTGTTTTACTATAGGAATGCATTGCAAATGAGGAAGAAAGGGATTGTCAGTGGTCAGGAATGAATGCAAGCATTACTGATAGAATAGGGCTATTATATATATAATTATTATTTTGTGGCAGTGTTTTACTAAAAGAATGCATTGCAAATAAGGAAGAAAGGGATTGTCAGTGGTCAGGAATGAATGCAAGCATTACTGATAGAATAGGGCTATTATATGTAGAATTATTATTTGGTAGCAGTGTTTTACTATAGGAATGCATTGCAAATGAGGAAGAAAGGGATTGTCAGTGGTCAGGAATGAATGCAAGCATTACTGATAGAATAGGGCTATTATATGTAGAATTATTATTTGGTAGCAGTGTTTTACTAGAGGAATGCATTGCAAATGAGGAAGAAAGGGATTGTCAGTGGTCAGGAATGAATGCAAGCATTACTGATAGAATAGGGCTATTATATGTATAATTATTATTTGGTAGCAGTGTTTTACTATAGGAATGCATTGCAAATGAGGAAGAAAGGGATTGTCAGTGGTCAGGAATGAATGCAAGCATTACTGATAGAATGGTATTATATATATAATTATTATTTTGTAGCAGTGTTTTTACTATAGGAATGCTTTGGAAATGAGGAAGAAAGGGATTGTCAGTGGTCAGGAATGAATGCAATATTACTGATAGAATAGGGCTAATATATATAAATTATTATTTTAGCAGTGTTTTACTAGAGGAATGCATTGCAAATGAGGAAAAAGGGATTGTCAGTGGTCAGGAATGAATGCAAGCATTACTGATAGAATATATATATTATATATATAATTATTATTTGGTAGCAGTGTTTTACTAAGGAATGCATTGCAAATGAGGAAGAAAGGGATTGTCAGGGGTCAGGAATGAATGCAAGCATTACTGATAGAATAGGGCTATTATATGTAGAATTATTTGGTAGCAGTGTTTTACTAGAGGAATGCATTGCAAATGAGGAAGAAAAGGGATTGTCAGGGGTCAGGAATGAATGCAAAGCATTACTGATAGAATAGGGCTAATATATATAGAATTATTATTTGGTAGCAGTGTTTTATAGAGGAATGCATTGCAAATGAGGAAGAAAGGGATTGTCAGTGGTCAGGAATGAATGCAAGCATTACTGATAGAATAGGCTATTATATGTAGAATTATTATTTTGTAGCAGTGTTTTACTAGAGGAATGCATTGCAAATGAGGAAGAAAAGGATTGTCAGTGGTCAGGAATGAATGCAAGCATTACTGATAGAATGTTATTATATGTAAATTATTATTTTGTAGCAGTGTTTTACTAGAGGAATGCATTGCAAATGAGGAAGAAAGGGATTGTCAGTGGTCAGGAATGAATGCAAGCATTACTGATAGAATAGGGCTATTATATGTAGAATTATTATTTGGTAGCATTGTTTTACTAGAGGAATGCATTGCAAAAGGAAGAAAGGGATTGTCAGTGGTCAGGAATGAATGCAAGCATTACTGATAGAATAGGGCTATTATATGTAGAATTATTATTTTGTAGCAGTGTTTTTACTATAGGAATGCATTGCAAATGAGGAAAAAGGGATTGTCAGGAAGGAATGAATGCAAGCATTACTGATAGAATAGGGCTATTCATAAATTATTGGTAGCAGTGTTTTACTAGAGGAATGCATTGCAAATGAGGAAGAAAGGGATTGTCAGTGGTCAGAATGAATGCAAGCATTACTGATAGAATAGGGCTATTATAGAATTATTATTTTGTAGCAGTGTTTTACTATAGGAATGCATTGCAAATGAGGAAGAAAGGGATTGTCAGTGGTCAGGAATGAATGCAAGCATTACTGATAGAATAGGGCTATATATATGTAAAATTATTATTTTTAGCAGTGTTTTACTATAGGAATGCATTGCAAATGAGGAAAAAAGGGATTGTCAGTGGTCAGGAATGAACATTACTGATAGAATAGGGCTAATATATGTAGAATTATTATTTGGTAGCAGTGTTTTACTGGAATCATTGCAAATGAGGAAGAAAGGGATTGTCAGTGGTCAGGAATGAATGCAAGCATTACTGATAGAATAGGGCTATTATATGTAGAATTATTATTTGGTAGCAGTGTTTTACTATAGGAATGCATTGCAAATGAGGAAGAAAGGATTGTCAGTGGTCAGGAATGAATGCAAGCATTACTGATAGAATAGGGCTATTATATGTAAAATTATTATTTTGTAGCAGTGTTTTACTATAGGAATGCATTGCAAATGAGGAAGAAAGGGATTGTCAGTGGTTAGGAATGAATTCAAGCATTACTGATAGAATAGGGCTATTATATGTAAAATTATTATTTTGTAGCAGTGTTTTACTATAGGAATGCATTGCAAATGAGGAAGAAAGGGATTGTCAGTGGTCAGGAATGAATGCTAGCATTACTGATAGAATAGAGCTATTGTATTATATATAATTATTATTTTTTGGAAATGTTTTACTATGAGAAAGAAAGTGATTGTCTGTGGTCATGATTTAAAGTAAGTATCACTGACAAAATAGATATATATACATATGTATCATTGGACATGTTGGTAGCGTAACTGTTATCGGCGCACAAATGAGATTCTACAAAACGACTTCAAATTACGACCGAGTCGCTTATGCTCAGTTTGTGCAAATACCCTTAGGAAGAACATGGAACCATGTCTTCTCCCTGTATCTATTGGTTAAACAGTAAATCATACTTTCTCCGACTTTGAATGGCAATCAGTCTAAGAGAAGAATTCCTTTACATTCAAAACCGCGGAAAATGCAATGTGAAAGTCTTCCACTTTTTCCCCAAGAAATCATAGCACATAATAAAGAAAGGAAATTGTGAAGAGCCATGATCATCTACGCTCTGAATGGAGAGGGCTTAAAAAAATGTTTGTTGGTCTCCAATAATTTCTAGCGATATCTGAAGTGGCGAAAACGAAATGTGAGAGGTATTTTAATGGGATAGAGTTCTGGGAACGCTCACAACATTTTATGGGGAAAATCTTCAGCCTTACCCCCCCCACAATAACTTTCTATGTTTGCCAGTGTTGATATCAAAGGATCTTGTTTGTCGCTTGCGGTGGCTTAAAATCTGAAAGTATGTGCTCTTTCTAAATTAAAGTTTTTTTTTTCTTTTTCTGCAATCAATGCAGAACTATCACTCATAGCAAAAAAATGAAAGATTATTATATATTACTTATATTAGAACGCTCTAGAATTTTTACCATATAAATAAACGGTAATCCATTCTTCGCGTTACGCTATTTTTTTCTGACAAAAAGTTTTACTGGAACGCGAACTTTTCGGATTGCGTCAGTGAAACCTATTAATAATTTTTTTACGTTGACGGGATCTGCAAGCACAAACATAACCATTGAGCATTGTCGATTATTTAAAATAAAATCTTATATTCAATTAAATTAATTATATTCCACCGATCTCGCCCTTAGAAATCAACCACATTTTTCCTTACATAATCTGTGCCTTTCTAGATACAAGCGACTCACGCGTCAGCTACTAAACTAAGAATGAGGGAACAGAATATAGGAATGAAAGGATGGATAGAATAAAAAACAACAACAAATCATTGGTTCGACCTACCGACTCATGTTTGTTGAATGTAAAACGTGAATATCAGAGAATGGTCGTATTTATGAAGTCCGTGCTCTTCGCCTCCGTTTCAGGGTGTGTGATCAATCAGTAAAAGGATGGTGACTAGTTACTGTAAATTGTTGTTGGATTTTTACAGCAGGGCAGTCAGTGGCGGATGATGAGACCGGCTGAGGTGACCAGCTGAAGGATAGATAGAATACGTCTTTACACAGTTTAAACAAAATCTCTCTCTTCTTTCACGCACTCTCTCTCTCTCTCTTTCTCTCCCTCTCACACACACACTCTCCCTCTCTCGCTCTCTCTCTCTCTCTCTCTCTCTCTCTCTCTCTCTCTCTCTCTCTCTTACCTTCCTTCCGTTCTTTTAGGGTCTTCTTTTCTTTACTGTTTCTTCCCTTCTTTTTTCTTTTCTTTATTTATTTCTTTCTTTTCTTTCTTTCTTTCTCCATTTATTTTCTTTCGTCCTTTTCTTTCTTTCTTTTTTCTATTCTTTTCTTTTCTTTCTTTCTGCCTTTCTTTTCTTTCTTTCTTTCTTTCTTTCTCCATTTATTTATTGCCTTTCGTCCTTTTCTTTCTTTCTTTTTTCTATTCTTTTCTTTTCTTTCTTTCTTTCTTTCTTTCTTTCTTTCTTTTCTTTCTTTCTTTCTTCATTTAGTTATTGCCTTTCGTCTTTTTCTTTCTTTTTTTTCCATTCTTTATTTTTTTCTTTCTTTCTTTCTTTCTTTCTTAATCTTTCTTTCTGTCGTTTTTCTTTCTATCTTTTCTTTCTTTCTTTTTTCTTTCTTTCTACTTTTCTTCTTTCTCTATTCCCATTTTTCTCGATATTTTATTTCATTTTAGTTTGTTAGCTAATTAGTTATTTTCTCCTACCCTTCTAATTCTTTCTTTCTTTCTTTCTTTCTTTCTTTCTTTCTTTCTTTCTTTCTTTCTTTCTTTCTAATTTCCTCCTTTCTGCTTTTTCCCGTCTTACCTTTCCCCCCTTTCATGTTTCTTCCTATCTGTTCCTCTCCGTTCTCTAGCTCTTTCTTCATTTCTATACTTTCTTTATTTATAATCTTCAACAAATGGAACCCTTTCTCTCTTTTTATAGTTTTCTGTTTTTAGCTTAACTTACTTTTCTGATTTTCTTGATATTTTCCCTTTTTTTATTCATGACAATGATCCCTTCATTTTGTTTCACCCTTTTTCTTTTGCATTCTCTCTCCCTCCCTCCCTCCCTATCTATCTACCTCACTCTTCATATCTATCTATCTACACATGCGGCTTCACATACAAACGAACGAGACGCTAGTGAATTTAGAAAAAAATTAAATTTAGTAATATATCTATTATGAATTGGATTAAGTCCGACAATTATTTTGATATATTTTCTGTTTACATTATTTTTATAGATACAAATATTTAAATAAATGCTCTGTTTATAATAAACAGTATTAACAACAATTACTGGCCTAAATATCAACGAAATTTCATAGAAAATATGTGTCCTACGACATGAATCGGACCTGTATCCTACACAAAACCGTCAAATAGCCTGACAGGAAATCGAACCTGTATTCTACATGGAACCGTCATTTGGTCTGACATGCTATGCTATTTAGCTACAGAGGAAACGTCTGGTTAACAAATCAAATTCAAGCCAGTAAATGTAGTTAATACTGTTTATTATAAAATTAAAAACGTTTTGATTATTTTCCCAGAAAATATTTTAGATTTAAAATTTTTTTAGATGATAATGATTTACTGAAGCAAAAAAACCCTTTGCAGATTATTTAAAGCCAGAAAATATTTTTAGATTGCAAGAATTTTTTGTAGATGATAATGATTTACTGAAGCGAGACCCATTTTAATTTAACCCATAGCTGAGGGGGAAAAGGTGGTTCATTAACTTACCTTTCCCAATGGTATTTTCGCGTAAGTAAATATAATGAACTCGACTGGAATTGGAACTCGACACTCCGATTTTCAATTCCGAGGCGTTATACATTAACACCACCCGCACATCCAAGCTTACAGCACCTCGTAGTCCTAAGCGGTCACCTATCTAGGTACTGATCAGCACAGGTTGGTTTTGAATCCAGAGTTTTTCCTCCTCCTAGAATGGTTACCACTTCAAGGCAAGTTTGTTCTACTATTTAACCCATAGAGGGAATCCTGCCTTTTCCAATGGCAATAGTGTGATGTGAATGAAACTGAATCGACAGGGAATTGAACTCATCACGCCGATTTCACTATCCGCGCCGTCATTTTGACGGTTAAAAGATTCATGATAACTGTAAGTCTGTAAAAACGAACTTAGTTCCGCACCCCCCCACCTTTATTAAAGGAAGCACTTAACAGTTTCCTTTGGCAGGAATACTCTTGCCCTTTTGGGGTTATTATTGAATAAAACTTATAAATCACTGATTTCTGGTAATTGAACACGCGGAAAGCGAAACCGTGGATATGGGTGACCACTGTCGTTTTATTTTACTTCTATTCTCCCACTTACTACCTCGCCCGGTTTTTTCTTTTTTTATATTGCTCAATTTTTCTCGTCAGTTTTCAGTATCTATCTTTCTATCTCAGAAACACGTTTCTTTCCTTTTTTAATAAGCTTTTTGTCAACGGTTTGGCTTTATTTCCTTCTTTCTTTCTTTTAGCTCTAGAAATCATTCTTTCTTTCTTTCTTTCTTTTTTTAGCTCTAGAAATCATTCTTTCTTTCTCTCTTTCTTTCGTTCTTTCTTTTAAGCCCGTTTTTTTTTTCTCTTTTCTATTGATCAATTTTCTCGTCTATCTATCTTTTTATCTCAGAAACATGTTTAATACACTTAATTTCCTTTTTTAATCACTTTTTGTCTACGATTTGGCTTTCTTTTCTTCTTTCTTTCTTTCTTTCTTTCTTTTAACTCTAGCTATCGTTCTTTCATTGACTTTCTTTATTTCCTTTTCTTTCTTTCTATCTTTCTTTCTTTCTTTCTTTCTTTCTTTCTTTCTTTCTTTTAGCTCCAGATATCGTTCTTTTTTTTCATTGCCTTTCTTTCTTAAGCTCCAGATACCATTACCTTCCTTTCTTTATTTAGCTTTATTTATTTATTTATTTATTTATTTATTTATTGTTTCTCATCACCTCCGGGTTTTTAAATATTCTATTTCTCACATCAGATTTTTTTTCTCTCATTCTCTCTTTTTCTATCAACCTCTTTCACAAACTCAAAGTTTCCAGATTTTCTTTATTTTCTCTTTTTCTCTTACATTTTCTCCCTTTCTTTTTATTTTCTTTCTTTCTCGTCTGCCTGTTTTTATTTCAGTGAAGATAATGTTACTTCCGCTATAGCTGAAGCCGGTCAATTTTCCTCTTTGGTCAGCGACTTCTGGAGGACAACAAAGAAAGAACAAAGTTTAGAAATAGATGAATCAATAATTTCTTGAATAGATCTTTTTACTGTTGTTAATGCTCATATTAACCAGGAAGGAAAAGGCGGGAAAAATGAGAGCAAAACGCGGCGGATAAATAATAGGTTTCCATCAATCTATGGTGTCTACTATCCCTGTTGTAGACGTCTGCCCAGGAACAATGCCAACCTGTAGTTTATACTGCAACTAAATATATATACTGGGTGTAACAGAAAAAATGTCCATAATAGATAGATAAGAAGAAAAGATAAGTGGAGAGATAGATAAGAAGAAAATTGAATTGATAAATAAAAAGAAAGATGTGAGAAAAGACACACACACACACACACATATATATATATATATATATATATATATATATATATAATCGACTCTCCCGTCGATATTCGACGTATGAGTGTCAAGCAGATCAGTTTCCAGGAAACCGACAGCCCGACACCGGCACATGAGATTTGATTATAGTGGTGAAGGCCTCGTGCAGGACAATCCACACTTTTTGAAGGGACGAATACAGAGACCTGGTGCACCGAATGCCACTAGGTTCCCAAACGATCCTCTGCAGGTTTTGAATTCAGAGTTGTCCTAGATCAGTTGCCACCCAAGGCTATAGAACCCAGTCTGTCCTACTATTTTACCCATAGCTGGAGGGAGAGGAAGAGGATTCATACTTTTCCACGCAAGTGAATGTAATGGATTCGACTGGAATTCAAACTCGGCTCTGCGATTCCTCAATCCAAATCGCTATCCATTACTCATTTTTCCTCCTCTTCTCTCTCTCTATATATCTATATATATATATATATATATATATATATATATATATATATAGAGAGAGAGAGAGAGAGAGATTTTGTGAATAAACATAGATGAATAGATAACTAGATAGCTATATATGCATGCATCTCTGTGTGTATACACACACACATATATACCCGTGTCCTTTGTACATACACGTGAAACTATATATTACTAAGTTTATAAAAAAGTAAAAAAATAAATAATAATAGAGTTTACTAAATCAGAGAAATGAATTATAGCTATTTTTGCCGTAATTGTCATAAATTTTACTTAAATAATATTTAAATATAAAAATTTTGAAAATCGTAATATACATACTTATACTTGATATGGAATAATAATTTTACTTACTGTAAGTAATTCTAATGCATTTACTTCTTTTAAAAAGTAATATAGTCTATTAAAACTAACAGTGAAAATATTTGAAAAAATACATCCCTACCCCTACCAAAACGAGTGAAAATATTTGAAAAAATACATCCCTACCCCTACCAAAACCTAACTAATAACTGATACATCAAAATACAGATATAATGAACACGCAAATACCCCTTGTCTGGTTGAGTTGGATTTCTCTGTATCCTTGGAAACGTGAATTATGATTTTTGCTGTGTCTTTAAAACCCTGTAATTTTAAAAGTTACTCCAAAATTTGCTTGAGGATGAAATGGAACTAATGTCTTAATTACAAAATTAAATTCTGAGCTTTCAGCTTCTATTTTTGTAACATGGTTAGAACTGTAAATAAAATAAAAAAAAAAAAATCAATTAATTTTTTATATATATATATATATATATATATATATATATATATATATATATATATATATATATATATACACATACATAGTGAATATACATAATCTTCATGTGCTGAGTATATTCTAATGTTTAGTTTAAATTCTTTAAAAACCTGTTGTTAGTTATTTTACTATAAATATGTATTGTTGGTATTATTCTTTTTTTTTACAAAAAATAAATTGCTGGTATTTTACTATAAAAATAAATTTGTATACTTTATTAGTGTTTTTTATTTGTTTGGGGGTTCAGTATTTGCCTATAGATGGGACCCTAACAAGTGCTACCACTCCGAGTCAGAGAGGACAACAGCAATTAAAAAGTGGTTCAATGCTTCTCAAGACCTTCAATCTCCCGATCAGAGGCCTTGCTGCTGGATGTTGTCCTTTTTACGGATATAGTCTATCTGAAATATCCACACACACACACACACTCACACACACACACACACACACACACACACACACACACATATATATATATATATATATATATTAGTCAATATACATACTATCCAGCGTCGGTAGAAGGACTCGGAGTTTCATGCGGTCTTGCAATCTTCAGGTGCTGAGTATATTCTGATGTTTAGTTTAAATTCTTTAAGGACCATAAACTAAACATTACCACCAAAACCAGCGCTAAAGTGATCAATTTCCCACACGTTACATTTGACATGAGTAAGGGCATGTATAAACCATACACTATGGATTCATACAACCCCAGGTATGTCGACAGAAAATCCAACCACCATAAAAGGATACTTGACAATTTGCAAACTCGGTACAATATAGGTTATCGATCATCTCCAGTAACAAAAGAATAATCGAGGATAATAAAGCTAGATATAATAAAGAGCTAGAACGCAGCAACGGTAAAGTGAAATTAGAGTTTGTAGAAATAAAAAAAATAATAAAATAAAAGTAAGCTAAAACAATACAAACAGAACATAATTTGGTTCAATCCGCCTTACAAGAGTAATGTCAAAACTAATGTAGATAGAATTTTTTCCAAATTTAATTCATGAACACTTTGGTCATTCTCCTACATTTAAAAAGATTTTGAACAAAAATAATATTAACGAAAGTTATAGCTGTATAAAAAACATAGATCATTATATATCCCAACACAACAATAATTTATTTATCAAACACATAAACAAAACACTATAATCCTACTAAAAATTAATTCAGCTGCTGCAAAAACGTAACCTGCCCATTAAATGGCAAATGCATCAATGAAGGTAAAATCTACACAGCTAGGATCAATTCAGACGATATTAAATATTACTTCGGATCCACCGAAAACAGCTGGAAACCGTGTTTTTACCACCACAAAATGACACTGAGCAATATCAAATACAAAAACTGCACAACACTTTCAAAGTATGTTTGGCGATTAAAAACTCAACCATTAGCTGGGATGTAATCGCGAAAGCTAAACCATGCAATGAAGAGGAAGACAGATGTAACTTATGTTTGTTGGAGAAGCTTGTTATATTAAAACATTTACTTAGCTTGCTGAACACGGGAACATAATTGATATCAACATATCCATAAGACCAAGCACCTGCTCAAACACAATGACCCCGATTAAAAGATATTCCAAAATAGATTTATGAATATTAATATAATATGCAATAACTATCAATATTCTTAGAACCCATGATTTAATAATATTTCTTATATATATATATATATATATATATATACATATATATATATATATATATAATCCCATATTATTTTACTCAATTAATTTATAACGTGTGCATATATAATTTCACCCTTGTAAGTATAAGGCTTGGTTCCAAGCACATTAAATATATATACCCGACATATTATTATACTGTGAGTACTAGTTTACTTTAATTGTTATAACTATGGTACTTTATGCAAAAAAGAGAGTTACCTCCCTTGATACCTAATTTGGTTACTTAATTTCAAATTTAAATATTTTTTTTAATTCTTTGTCTTTCGAAAGAATTTAAATGATATAAGTTATAAATAATTAATTATAATATTTTAGGCAACAATAATTAAATAAACAAGTCTTAACACAATTTTAAATTATCGTCATGAGAATGCGAACCTCATAATGGTTAGAATATACTTAGCACCTGAAAATTCCAAGACCGCATAAAACTCCGAGTTGTGCTATTGACGTTGGATATTATGTATATTCACTAATATATACTTATAGCTTTGGGCACCTCGAAGCGGTGTAATGGCTAGCAAGCTTGTCTCGTTAGGATAATTAAGACTGAGTAGTGAGTTCGATCCTCACTGGGTACCCCTAATTTCGGCCTTGTGCCACATCTGAGCTACGCTTGAAAAATCACAATATATACTTATAACTCTTGTTACATAACATTGGGCGCTGCATTTATAACACCTGAGGAAGAAATATATTTATATGTTTATTTAGAAAGAAACAATGCAGTTATTAATAAAAAGAGTTATAATAATACATGCAAGATTTTACAGCTCTAGCATGACTTCTTCATAATCAGTCAATGAACTTTTAAGCCCACTCTTATACTTTCATTAACGAAACCTTCAAGTGGGTTTGATACCAGTAACCATCTTGAAAAGAAATCCCTCTTTCTCCTGAACTCGTGTACGATCAAATCACGCTGAGAAACACCAGTTCTCGTTTGTTAAGCAATATCGAATCTGGCCAGTGCTTAAATATGAGACCGCTTGAAAATACTGGGTTTTGTAAGCAAGATTTGAAATTCCGAAATATGTTTAAGCCTTGAATAACTCATAAAAGGTTGATAAGCTGTAAAATGGTCATCGTTCTTAATTTAATTCACGTAACCTTTCAGTGTGTTTCATACCAATTCACCATCTTGAAAAGAAATTCATCTTCCTCCTTAACTCGCCTACGGTAAAAATCACGTTGAAAACAGCGGTTCTGATTCAATTAGTGAAGTTAAGAAACCTCGAGCCTGGCTAGTATTTAGGAGGAGACCGTTGACAACACTTGGTACTA